GTACATCAGATTATTCATTCACTTGATTCTTAGATTCACTTGATGATAGATGCATGTTTGTTGTTCATAATTTGTATCTTTACCTTTTTCTTCTTCTTCCTCTTCTTAAAGGATACTGTTCAGCATTTCGTATAATACTGGTTTAGTGGTGATGAACTCCTTTAGCTTTTCCTTATCTGTGAAGCTCTTTATCTGACCTTCAATTCTGAATGATAGCTTTGCTGGATAAAGTAATCTTGGTTGTAGGTTCTTGGTATTCATCACTTTGAATATTTCTTGCCATTCCCTTCTGGCCTGCAAAGTTTCTGTTGAGAAATCAGCTGACAGTCGTATGGGTATTCCCTTGTAGGTAATTGAGTCTCTTTCTCTTGCTGCTTTTAAGATTCTCTCTTTGTCTTTTGCTCTTGGCATTTTAATTATGATGTGTCTTGGTGTGGTCCTCTTTGGATTCCTTTTGTTTGGGGTTCTCTGCGCTTCTTGGACCTGTAAGTCCATTTCTTTCACCAGGTGGGGGAAGTTTTCTGTCATTATTTCTTCAAATAGGTTTTCAATATCTTGCTGTCTCTCATCTTCTGGTACCCCTATAATTCTGATGTTGGTGCATTTGAAACTGTCCCAGAGGCTCCTTACACTATCTTCGTATTTTCGGATTCTTTTTTCATTTTGCTTTTCCGGTTGGGTGTTTTTTGCTTCTTTGCATTTAAAATCTTTGACTTGATTCTTGCGCTCCTCTGGTCTGCTGTTGGGTGTCTGTATAATATTCTTTATTTCAGTCAGTGAATGCTTAATTTCTAGTTGGTTCTTTATCACAACATCGAGAGTCTCATTAGATTTCTTGAGGCTCTCATCAAGTTTATCGGCAGTTTCTAGCAAATTATTGAAAGCCCTCAAAAGTGCATTTTTTAGCTCTATATCCTCCATTTCTGTCATGTTTTTTTGTCTCTGCATTTTTTATGCTTTCTTGGTGCACCCTCTTGTGGTCTTTGTGTGCAGTCTTGTTGTAGTTAAGCCTTAATTGTTGTCGGCAATACTAGGGGTGAATTGACTTCCAGGCTAACTGGCTATGAGAGTCAGCTGTGTCTGCAGTGGGAGAACTTCTGTGCTGAATCTCTAGGGCGGTGCTAATCTAGCCTTTGCCTGAGGCTATCCGGCAAATGCTTCTGTGCAGGGCTTGGGCGGGGCGGGTCCCAGGGGATCTACAGGACGGGCGGAGGGAGCAGTTATGGCTGCTCTCAGTTCCGTCCCCAGCGGCTCTGCAACCGCTGCAAACCTTGGAGAGAAAGCTGCCTTCCCGCTTCTCCCGTTTGAGTCTGGGTCCCTAGAGACTCGCCGGGATCTGGAGCTCAGAGTCTGAAACTCCCTCCCGATTGAAACCAACAACCGCGCCCTCCGCCGCCGGCCCGCTCCATGCGCACCTCCGCACCTTAGTATTTCACTTCAGCACTGCGCCTCCTCTGAGTCTGGGTATGGATTTCTCTTTACTTCTAGTTGTAGAATCTCTCCTCAGCCAGCCTTTCTGTGGTTCTGGGTGATGTCTGTTCCATCTTTTAGTTGTATTTTTGAATTGGTTGTTCAAGGCGGCAAACTCCGGCGTTAACCTATGCCGCCATCTTGGTTCCTCCCAAATCAATACATTTTTTAAAAGAAAATAAGCCTGGCATTGGCTAGTTTGGCTCAGTGGATAGAGTGTTGGCCTTTGGACTGAAGGGTCCCGGGTTCGATTCCAGCAAGGGCACATGCCCGGGTTTCGGGCTTGATCCCCAGTAGGGGGTGTGCAGGAGGCAGCTGATCAATGATTCTCTCTCATCATTGATGTCTCTTATCTCTCTCTCTCCCTCTCCCTTCCTCTCTGAAATCAATTGAGCCCCACAATCTGGGCATGTGCCCCCAACTGGAATAGAACCCATGACTCTTCAGTCCGCAGGTTGACACTCTATCCACTGAGCCAAACCGGTCAGGGCTAAAAATACATTTTAAAAAAATAAAAAGAAAATAAGCCTGAAAAAGAGAAACCTACACCACCTGGAAATCAGCCTACATTCCATAATAAAACCCTTCTGCTTAAGTACACAACTCCCCCATTACCATTAGTAAAGTAAATATTACCATACTCAAGTTACCAAAAACTAGGACATAGCCAACCTCCTGGACTTCTACCACACCACTGGCTGCCTGCGTGTGGCCTTGCACGCTGGGACACTGCTCTAGCCTCCTCTATCCTCCACACCTAAACAGAGTTCCTTTAAAACAGCGGTTCTCAACCTGTGGGTCGCGACCCCTTTGGGGGTCGAATGACCTTTTCACGTGGGTCGCCTAAGACCATTGGAAAACACATATATAATTACATATTGTTTTTGTGATTAATCACTATGCTTTACTTACTTTCAATTTGTAACAATGAAAATACATCCTGCATATCAGATATTTACATTACGATTCATAACAGTAGCAAAATTACAGTTATGAAGTAGCAACGAAAATACTTTTATGGTTGGGGGTCACCACAACATGAGGAACTGTATTAAAGGGTCGTGGCATTAGGAAGGTTGAGAACCACTGCTTTAAAACTACCAGAAAGCTTTCTGAAGGCAGCAACTCCTTCCTTCCAGGATCCCATCCCATTCTCCGTACCCCACCCCAAAGCGTCTCCTTTCCAGCTTTGCCTCTCCAGTTGATCTACTAAGCTATTTATTTGCCTGAGGCAAATTTTCCTCATCCTTGAAATTCCTCCCAGATTGAGAAATTCTGGACTTCCTCTGTTTTATTTTGTTTTTTCAGTCTCAAGGTACTTCCTCTTTTTCCTTCCTTCTTCCCTTCCTCCCTCCCTTCTTCCCCTCTTTTCAGAAGCCTTCATTATCCTCCCTCCCTCCCTCTCTTCCTTCCTTCCTTCCTTCCTTCCTTCCTTCCTTCCTTCCTTCCTTCCTTCCTCTCTCTCTCTATCTCTCTCTCTCTCTCTCTCTCTCTCTATATATCCTTTATCTTTCTTTCTCCTTTCCCTTTCTCCCTTTCTCCCCTTCCTTTTCTTCCTTTTCTTTCTTTCATCAGTCACAGAGTCCTGGATTTGTGCGGCTTTGTTGTCTGCCTGTGAATCACTGATTGGACTAATGCCAGCAGGTCCTTAAAGTTCCAAGGGATCGGCAGGTGGCATTTTCACCCACACCCAGAGACGACTCCTAATGGCATCAGTGCTCACGTACTATGTGGAACATACTTGTGGACTGTCAAGCTCGGGGTTAATTGGTTTCAGTTTACGTCTCGGGGGAGCAGAGTCCCAATGCACATGCAGCCCTGGTACAAGTGCCCGAACCAACTTTACTCCCGGAGGAGTGGCGGCCTGGAGGAAAGCAATGCCTCTGACTTCACCCCTTTCATACACCGCCTCTATCTCCTGTCAGAGAGAACAGATGAAATCTTAGATTACAAGTTTTCAAACTCAATTAATTGTTCATTAATATCTAGGAGTGGCAGATATATGATGCTTCCCTTTTCATGGCAGGTCAAAGATGAAATTTGATTATGCTTTGAAGGAGGTGGATTGCCTCTCGAAATTCCTTGCTGTGTCTTTATCAGTGTTGCGTTACCCAGAGCAGCCTCCGTGCCCTTATTTAAGCAAGGGAGGCACACTTGTCTGCTTCTATAGACTGGAGCTAGCACGGGAGGAAGTCAAACCCGTTCTGCACAATGAAGAAGCAGCGTAAGACGGAGGCAGCACCACAATGTGAGCTAAGTAAGTAACTAGTAAGTATGCAACAGCCGGGGAGGTGGCCCAGCTGAGCCCACCTAGAAGGGCACAAGAGTGGCTACAGCCATTTTATTTTCTAGTTGCAGCAGAGGTTCCCAAAGGAAAGGTTCTGGTCTGGAGAGACTTTCTGGAACTCCCCAGGTGTGCTACAGAGAGATTCTCAGGACTAATTTGTGCTGTTTCTTTTCTCTCCAGGAGAAAGTCTGTGTGCAAACCAGCCTGTACCAGATAACTGACGATGCTCAGCCCAGTTTTTGGTCCCCGCGTTTTCTACTTTGTACTTTATTTGGATTTTTCTTTTGTCAATTCACTCTCCTTTTTCTCCTCTGTGGGACTCTTTTACAACTAGTAACATTTTCTCCTAGCAGTTTTTACACGAAGAAAGAAATTGGAGGGGTTTTTGCTTTACCTCTCTAGGCCTATGAGTTGGTTAAGATAAGCTTGGTTATCTTTGGATATAAGGGGGAGGGTGTCTAAAGAATGTTTTCTATAGCTCAGAATGTGACGAGTAGTAGGAGTGTAATAGCAAAAATAATGTTCTCCACCCCTCTAAAGTACAGCTTGGGCTGCCCGCGCGACTTTTTAAAATATGGCCCTAGAGCTGCCGGGTTTGT